AGAGGAGAAGGAAGAATATGCATTCTCCTTTTCCTTTCTTCTAAGAACAAAAACAAATGAAAGCTCCACTGCTCTCTTTTTCTTTTCTCTTCATTCATCTTTTTATTTGTTTGAGTGGCGCTGGTGGCGGGTTGTTTGAGACCATCATAGAAAATTTATCAAAAAAAGCAATTTGATGTGCAAATTCATTTACCAAATATGAAAACCAACGGTTGAAAATGAAAAAGGATCTGCAGTCCCCAAACTGAAGGCCATCAACTAAAGACCAACTAAAGAAATGCATGACAAGAAAAGCTGCACATGGACGAAGCGTGAAGGAAATGCACAAGCCTGTATACCTGGTTTTTACAATCATTAAGTGAAAAGGGAGAAAATGGAGGGTAGCTTTTTGCATCAACTCTGTTCTAATAAAACAATAGAGAATAACAAACAGCTCTGCAGCATACTGCATCTAGAGGGTGAAATTTCAATAGAGATCCATATACAGCTGAAGTTAAATCATCCATAGGGGGCAATGAATCACTTAAAATTCTCAGGCTTGAACTAGACAGAAATCATTTCTACTATATTTATTGACCACCCGGGACTTACGAAATTCATTTAACAAGACAGAACTCATGCTGCAGAGAAAGGAAGAGGCCATTACCGTCGAAATGTATGTACTCACGGGATACACAAAATCTGCTTATACATAGTGTCATAGGTATAATCATTTTTCCAGGCCGATCTATCATACTAGAAAAGGTGAATATTTCTTTTTATTTTTTTGTTTGTTTATTTTGTTAAATATGTGATTGCCTAGTTGATATTCTCGATTAAGGTGAATAGGTGATACATTACATAGTTAATAAGGCAATGAGGTGTTACATTACGTCATCATTGATTGTCAATAGAGAGGCTATCATGTTGCAGGAAATAGTATAACTGCAAGTCAAGGGTTTCGCAAGATATATTAAATCCTTATATCAAATGTCTGTGGTGAATTTCTCACCAAAGTATTATCAATTCTGAATAAAAGCTACCTACCTTAACCAGTTCCTTTTGGCAGCTAGTAGATTTCACTTCCTCGTCATCATATCTTTTCCTCCACACTGCAGATTCGTCCATTGCTTCTCTACTGGCAAGATCAAACTGTCTCCTACAAGAAACCAGGAACCGCATACTTGGCTAAGCAGTACATGATATCAAATTCTATCTTAATGAGAAAGTTGGAATTTTATCTAAAATTGCTCATATGTTTGATGCCAGCAATTTTAAACATGTCTAAGAATGTGGAATGATTAAAAACTTTAATCGTTAAAACAGTTTCTTATTCATTTATCAATACTTAACTTTGAAGTGGTTTTGCCTCAGCAACTTAAAGACAATGGTACAATATGCTTAAGACATTCTACTAGAAACTAGAAACTAATCCTAACTGTTCAGATATTTGCTAAAACTACCCTATAATCAAAACTCAAGGCAAGTCACCTACTAAAACATTTGCAATGGGGTTCGTTTCACATCTTGGAAACTTAGGCATGATTCCAATTCATAAATTCACAAAAATAACATAGAGGCGCATCTAAGATTTAAACTCTATGAGTTCAACCTTTAAGATTCTTAGCATTGAACCTGTTACATTATCAAAATTAAGGGTTCAGACCTACTATTTGTTGTAATTTTAGTAAAATCTTAAACATAAATTTATACTCCACGTCCAAAAGTACTAGGTTCAAATGAACCTGGTGCTATAAGGCTGCGTCCGTCTCTGATACACAAACAAAAGTTAAAAAAATAAACACCATATGAGGCCATTTTATCCTAAATCTTACTCATTACATTAAACATTTTCCTCAATTCTCTTCATTCAACTCGGATGACATTGAGCGATTTTACGCAAAACCAAATCCGTTCTGCTCAGAAACAAATACGCATATGGAAGAATTTTGGTTCTGGAAATGTACAGAACCAAGCAGATACTGCAAAAAGCAAAGGGAGGTTATTAAGTTTCTGATATCTTCATTTCCTACCTCAATGGATAATCCAGTCCAAATTGGTTCTCTTTTGCTGGTTATTAAAGCAAGAATTTTGTTGGGTGGTTACCAAAAGTTGATACAAACAAGAAATCCACATTCCTATGCTAGATATAAAAATAAAGGTTACTGCTTTTCTTAATCTTCTTGATTGAGAGTTAAGACTAACCAACCTACCCAACTAATCTTTCTGTTTCTTGAACATTACCCAATTTTTCTCAGCAACAAAACAAGTGAAAAGATATATTAACCAATTATTTTCTTGATCCATTTCTAGGAGCAAAGACATGATCTTTTTCTGAAGGTAGATATAAAAGATTAAGCAAGAAAGAAGAAGGGTACCTGAGTAATTCAGTTTCATTAGAAGAGAAACGGTAGTCAATAGTCCAAAGCCTTAAGTAAACAGCTAAACCCATAACCATAACAAGACCAAGTCCCACCAATATTTGCTTTCTCCCTCTTCCTTTCATCTTCCCCTTCTCTCGCTCTCTCTCTCTCTCTACAGTACTTTAGTTTGCGCTACTAAAGACTACAAAGTTAATGGCAATTGTTATTAGAGTCCGTTTGATTTCTCATTAAAAAAAAATACTTTAACTAATAAGCATTAAGTGATGTAACCAAATTTTATAGAGAAAATGGCCAAATTTATCCCTTGGTATATTATTTATATTTATCTATCGTCACACTGTTGGGTTAAATTTATCCTTACCGTTAACCAAAATTTTTTAAAGTACCCTCCACCTAATGAATATCCAGCATATTAAAAAAAATACCCATTTTCGTTTTTCAAAAACCCATTAACTCATAACTCATAACTCATAACTCGTGAGTTTTGATGATCTATGGATGTATGCTCCCATTGCATACAACAAAATGGACACGGTGGTACTTGATTTCTATATATATTAGTAAATTGAGGGCATTATCATGCCAGCAGATTAGAGATATTATTTTCATTTTGTAAATAGTGCTGAATCAAGACTCAACCAATTGTATATAGACGGAGAAATTAAAAAATAGCCAGATTTATAATTGTCCGTTCAAAAATAGCCCAGTTTTAAAAGTAATCGAAATTTAGCCACTTTTCATGTAAAGATAAATATGAGCGAAAACACTGTTCAAAACCCGAAAAATATGTCAGTATATTATATTGGAGTTCCAGCATAAGTATGCTTGAACTCCAGCATATTATACTGGAGTTCTAGGATAAGTACAGCATAAGTACACTAGAACTCCAGCATAATATACTGGAGTTCCAACAAGTATAATTGTCCAGTATAATATACTGGAGTTTGGAGCACCGGTGCTCCACACTCCAGTATATTATACTGGAGTCAGCAAAGTATACCGATCCAGCATAATATGCTGGAGTTCATACACAGGTGCACCGAACTCCAGTATATTATGCTGGAACGGTCTCTGTTGCAGCAAAATAGTGGCTATTTTTCATTGACTTCGTAAACGCTGGCTATTTTTGAATGACCAGTTCGAAAACTGGCTATACCGTGCTATTTTTACATTATTATCTTATACAAGAAGACTAATGATTCTTCTGATTCAATATTCAAATGTAGAGATAAGTTCCTCTCTGCTCTAGCTGTCACCTCAACATGATGAATGAAGTTTAGGTGCTTGTAGCATTTTCTCATTGTTACGACCAAAATTATCCCTATACTATGGAAAATTAGTTACGTTTATACCCGTCTTTATTTTTCATCCATAATCATACCTACCGTTAATATAGTATATAAGTTTGTCCTTAACCCTAACAGATGTCCAACATGACACCGGGACCCCCATAATGATTTGCCAACTACACAATTCTTGACCTATTCTTTTAGAAACCCGCCCCCACCTTTATAACCTGTTAATTAATCTCCTTTATCGATTAAATAATACCTTTGTCAGTCGATGAAAAACTAGGGTTCAGGCACAAAATTCCCTTTCCTCTCGTTTGCTCTACTCTGTCCTCTCAGGTGAGATTCAATGTCGCAGAGTAGTACTTCCTTTCAGAGAAGGTGTCAATGTGGTATTATTGCCAACCATTTCACATCAACCACTCCAGCTAACCCCGGTAGAAAATTTTATAAATGTGCACGGTTTAAGGTAAGTATTTTACGTGGATTTGTCTAATCTTTCTACTATATCTAGCTGTTTTGATTTGAAAATTATATCTTTTAAATGGTTCTTTGGCAGAATAATTCATGTGGTTATTTCGAATGGGAAGATCAAATATCCGCGGATGGTTCTCAGCTTGAAATAAGAGAATTAACGTCGTCTTTGAATGCGGTTACGATTGAAAGAGACAAGTTGAGGGAAAAAGTAATTTCCATGAAAGCCATGAACAAATCTAAACCTACTAAGGTCAAAAAGTTAGAAGAAAGAGTCGTACAATTAATGATTGTGAAAATTGGTTCTTGGGCATTATTTGTTGGATTCTTTGCCGCCTGGAAAATGAAGTAGATTTCATTATGTTTCTTCCTTGTTTAGTTGATTATCATTGTGTGAGTTCAGCCCTCTCTTTGTGTAGTGAATTGACATGTATTGCTTAGTGAAGTAGGGAACTAGTTTCTTAAGAATTGGAGTATCTCCAATTAGAATGATACTCCAATTGGAGATGTAATAGTATGATGCTTCTGTTTTTGGCATGAAATGGTGAATGAATATGAGGCTTTGATTTTTATCATTCTCCACTTTGAATTAGTAGGTGTTAATATGCACAAATACTTGCTATAGCCGCAGTTACATATTTACCATATCCTTATGTGCTCAATCTATATTAACAAGAAGAAAATGTCATAGTACATCAGAATAGAGGGAACAAGATGAACTTGGAAATTCATACCACAAACTGTTCAAAATTTACTAACATTGACAGAAATTTATAACTTCAACTGTCATAGTATATCAACTACTTCATAACACCAACTGTCATAACATTCACATAATGGACTTCACAGAAGTCCATACCACCAACCACAAAAATAAATGTACTATCATTATAGTAATTACATCAACCAACAAATAATAACTGTACTATCGTAGCAGTAATTACAAGTCTTTTAAATTTAAAATTCACAAAAACTTTCACCACTTAACTGACTTTCCACGTTTAGTTTAAGTCACATTAATTTTGTGACTAGCCATTACCCTTTCTTGTCTTCCTCTTGGCCATCTTTTCAAGTTGATTTCCTGTTATAACTTTCTTACTATTCCAGGTGAGGTTCTTAGCTGAGTATGGTAGGTTTGAGGGCACACTCACACCAGATGAGTCACCAACAAAATTGATGGTCCTTGTTATAGCGGCATGGTTCCTTGTTGTCTCATAAGCAATCTTTTCCTTTCTTCAAAGAAACTCTTTGGCCTAATATTTGGGGCAGAATCTGATTCAAAATTAAGAAATTCAAAATCTAGAAAGACACTGTTGTTGGAAAGTTTCCTTTGCACTGAAGGAGATGGCATAAACTAAAGTTTGTGTCTTGAACTGGATAACTTGACTGACTTTCTTGACTAAGCTATAGTGCTGAAAGTTGTATTTCCTTCCCAGCGGGTATATTTACAGCAAGTGGTGACATGAGTTGTTCATCATTACTGTCTTCATCTCCTAAACATCTTTGTCTCTTTGCCTGCTTGCCTTTTTTCTTACTTGCTATTGATTGCTTTCCCTTAGAATGCTATTAAACAAAATAAACAGGATAGACATAGTTAGAGTAAATAAGTAAAATACAGAATAGACAGTATTTGAAAATAAAGAATGTTACCCTTGCACTGCTCCTAGCATTGTGTCCAGGCTGACCACATATGGAACACTACATTATCCTCCCCTTCTTTACCCTTGCACTGCCCCTAGCATTATGTCCAGGACCACATATAGAACACCACATTATTCCTGGACTACATCCATCCACCTTATCTGTTGACTGTTTCATTTTTTTCTCTTTTTCTTTTAGGCCTGCCAGCCATCTTCACAAATTCTGGTGGTTCCATTACATGAGATGCTTCTACCTTCCAAAAATTTTCTTCCCTTACTGGTTGAAGCCTATGTGAATAGGCTAGGAGATATGCCTTTTTGGGTGACCACAAGTATATTTCAGTCAGGGGATTCATCTTGCTGTGTTGTATTGCTTTAATGAGGACATGAGATTCCATTGTACTACATGTGCGTCTCTTCACCACTATATTCACTGTATGTCTATCACCATCTTCACTCACTTCATACCCTTCTTGACCATTGGAATGTGTCACACCTCCTTTTCATTACTCCCGCAAGGGTGTAAAGGAGTTTTTCCATTTAAAGGACAATTGGAACGGGATTTAATTATTAATTATTCAGAGT